CCTTTACAAATATCAGCTTTACCAAGAGAAATGTGGCCACATAACTATGATTATTACAAACGACAAAAGCCACATAGCTATGAATATTACAAACGACAAAGCCTAAAACCTTCCTATTTGGAGTTTACTCTATCTCCCCTAAGCCCTACCTCTTTGGGGTCTACTCTATCTCCCCTAAACCATACCTCTTGCTTTCTAAGGCTCTCAACTTCTCTCTTTCAAGGGCCATTATCTCCCTTAAACTCTTTTTTAAGAGCCTCACCCAGTAAACTTTGTTTCTCTCCCATTAGAGCCTATTATAATCAATTTACAATATATTAAAACTGACCGTCTCCTATATGGCCCATATGAAACTTAGTATACTAATTTTCTAGTCATTTTATCAAACTAGGGAAATTGAATGTTCTAATTTTTTAATTAACTATTAAACTAAAAAAAAGTGAGTGCATCAACTTTCTTTATGTTTATAGAATCCCAAGTATTCTCAAGGGTTCTTGCTGAAATAGTAAAAAAGTTATCAAACGGGGCTATAATGCTCCTAGTGGAGCAACAAATCATTTAGCTTAAATATCTTTCTCAAGTGCTTTTGGAAAGTTTGGAGGAAAAGTTTCATGCAGGGCATTAACTTTGTGGTTGTTTGTGCTAGAAAGTAAGGTGTAGCTCGAAAACTTATTTGAAAATGTTGTTTTAATAATAGAAAAGCCTCTAATCGGTCATTTCAACCTCAAGATGTATAGATATAACAAAAAATGATTTTACATCCCAAAATGGATCTTGTAATATATAATATGGATTTTCAGTTTTCTAAGATTTGCAAGTTTTTATAGATATGTTTGATTTGCACTAGCTTTAAATTTCAAAACCAAGGGCAAGAAGAGATTTCGAAGCCAATTTTGAGGTCCTTGGAATTGAAATTGTATCTTCAGACGGAGTATGGAGATATATTGTACTTTGATTATCTAAGATTGATGCTTTCGCATAAACCTCATCCCCTAAATGAGTCCTTTCCGTGAACTCCTTCTGAGAGAAGGATTTTTTTTTTTTGTTTTAGTAATTCAATGGGAAAGACATATCCCTAACTAGTACGTCACATCACATTTTGTTAAATAATAGATTCATGGGAATCTAGCCCAAGACCCCAGTGAAGGAGGAGTCCCAAGGCAGATAGTCTAACCAGTACACCATTCGACAATTAATAAAGATTTATTGCAACTTATAAGTGTTGCAGGCTCTACATGGATCTTCTATTGCTCAGGAGGAAGGATTTAAGATCTCAAACACATCCTAAATCACTTTAAATGAATTTCTTATTTTAAACCATGATATTCCCGAGAATATAGCTTTACCCTTGTTTGGGTGGAAGCTATATAAAACTCTGGAATTTACTCCATTTAATGTCAAACTTGTGAAAGCAAAGGGATATTTGGGCCAGTCTTACCGGAATGGTGGGGATATATAGAGCGAACTGTTTGTTCAATTTGACATCTAATGAATGAGAATGATTGTGACCTCCAAGTGCAAAAGATAAATGATCTCTTTATAGACAATCCCATTTCAAAAGACCTGTCAAAATTTAAATAATTTTGGTTTGAAATAGTAAAAGGAGTAATATGTTAAATAGTCTAAATATAGGATAAACTTTGCAAAAAAAAAAACAAAGGCAGCTTTATTTACTCTGCTCTATTGTTTTTTAATTGCTTAGAAGGGGCCTGGCCAGCTCTTCTTCCATGGAAGAGCCAGAGTTTCCGTCGTGGATCTTATTTTATGAAGGCTAAACCAAGCAGCTGAAAAGGAAAATTTTGTTCTTTGACGCCTTGCCTTGGAAAGCTATAATATATTTTGATAATTTTCCCTTTTTCCATGCATTGGCCTTTTGGAGAAGGAAAAAGTTTATATACGGATGCAACCTTATAATGTAGAACTACGGATGCACATAAAAAAATCCATCGGAAAAGGTAGTTTTAATGTTAAAAAACCTTTTGATTAATGACCTCGACATCGAGATGTATGACCATGAAAAATAAAAAGATTTTAAGTCTAAAAAATAGGGCATTTTACAACATATTATCTACACCGTCCAATTTTAATATTTCCATATGTTTATAGATCTACTTGATTTTAACTAGTTTTTAAATTTAAAATTTTATAATTAAATATAAAAATAGATTTTGAGATAATCCTAAGAACATTTTACATCAAAATTATGTACCATGATAGAATTTGAATGTGTACCTTACCTCTATGGCTACGGATGCATCTGTATGCCAACTGCAACCTTCGGAGAATGATAGATTTGTCGTAGAATTGTTAAGGTTTTAATCCAATGTTTAACTACTCTGCCAAGTCCAGCCGGCTAACTGGTACAAGCAAGATATATTCATATAAAAAAAATGAAATTATATAAATTCATGGGATCAATATATGGAAATTATCTTTGTAAGTTGGATGTGTTTTACAATTATTCGTGAGGTTCTATTGTCAAATGCCCTATTTTGTATTTTTTTTTCTTGGATTTTTCTGAAATGTCTTTAACTACAAATCAATTTTGTAAATCTATGTTTTTAATTTTTTTTCGACTTATTTGGATTCCTCATGATGTTTTTAATTTATTTCACTTTTTAAGTATTTATTTTATTTTTTAGCATTTTTTTATTTTTCAATATTTTAGGGCCTTTATAGCCATATACATCACAATCTAGTCCATGTAGATTCGTCCAGGGCCGAATCCAAGGCCCAAGCTGAGTCTTAAAACAATTCTTCAAATCAACTGTTTTTTTTCTTTTGTTATTGCAAATTTTTAAATTCATTACATGTGTAAATCTATTTACCAAGATTTATTATAAATTATGTATTTACATCTTGTAAATCATAGGTTTATGTGTAAATGATGCTGCTGGGCAGAAGACATACTTAGGAGGATCTTTTTTATTTAAAATTTTGGGAAGCACCTAAGAAAAACTAGATTATTACTATCAAAAGAAAAAATTTGAATTTTGAGCTTACTTGGATCTCACCCTCTATAAATTGGACGATATCTATTCAATCTTGAGACTTTATTTTCCTCAAGCATATAAAGAGTCCAAAATTAGAAAAAAAAATAAAAAATATTGGCATTAGTCAATGGATTGAAGAGGTTACATCTAGAAAATTAATGTCCTAAAAGTGCTATGAGGTGTACCAGAGGTAGTAAATGGACAATATACTCTCTCCCAATAGCACGAAAACTTTGGGCAAAAAAAAACAAAACTATATCTCATCTCATTTCTATCACAAAGCACAAAAACCAGAATACACTTGTGTGTCCCAAAAATATCAGCTTTGGTAAGAGAAAAGTAGCCACATGACTAAGATTATTACAACGGGAACAAGATTTTTAATTGCACTACAAACAAAAGGTGAAGATCATGTGGATGGACATCAGGAAATCAGATGAATGGCGATAGAATCTCTCAGAATATGTAGAGAACTCTTTTTATATTGATTACATCAAATAATATACAAGACCAGTATAAATATACAGCTAGTTATAATTTCTTATCATAATTAAAAGATACATATATATCTAATCTTATCAAGAGATATATATCCATACAAATACATATCTATACGGTAACAAATGATATAAGCCTTCAAGGGTTCCATAATTTTCAATAGAAAGAAGGAATCTCAACAACAACCTCGCCATGGAGCTCCAAGTCTCTAGAGAGAGTCATGAATCTTGCTGATGTCGGTTAAGGCGGATCGGGAGTCCCTTCTCAGCAACCGGCATAGGATCGATTTTTATCTTCTCGTCTGGGAAGACCAATCTCCACTCATAATTCTTCACTAAATTGTGCAAGAACACTAGAATCTCCACTCTTGCAAACTCAAGACCAGGGCACATGCGTGGTCCCCCACCGAAAGGGGCGAACGTGTAGGGTGGTGGTCCCTTTCCCTCGAAACGTGATGGATCAAACTTTTCAGGATCAGGAAAATACTCTGCGACCTTGTGGGTTGTATGTGTGTTCCAATGGAGCTGGAGGTCCATCGCAACAAATGTTGTTTAGAGAATTAACATAGTAAAAAATGCCCTTTACCAAAATTTACATAGAGCACCAAATGCAGGTGTTAATTAACCTGTCCAACCGAAAAAGAAGAGGGAAGAAAGAGGAGATACGATAGTTGTCTCCTTGTGCGTGTTGCCCATATTTTATTTGTGAAATTAATGTTGAATTCGTCATTTTTTGTTAAAAATTTGTGGAAAAAAAAATGCGAGAAATGGAAAATAATGCTACATACTCATGAAAATTACTATTTACATATTTTATACTGTTCAAAATTTTAAGAAATTAGATATATTTTCACATTTTCTCTGAGAACCCTCCATAGTTGTTGCTTAAAAGCTCCCTATTGATTATTGACCAAAAGAAATGCAAAAAATAACCTCCACAAAATGTAACGATGTTGATCACTTGGATTAGTGGTTAGAGATTAAGGGCCTATTACCATGATTTTGTTTCTAATCTTATCCACTTAAGACTAGCAGACAGAGGCTTAGTCATGTTAACTCACCCTCCAACCTTTCGGGATATGGAATCCGGCAAATGTGAAGTCAGTTAGCGATTGCCGGTACCCTCCAGCAACAGACGGCGAAACTCTCAGCTCCTCACACACCACATTCCAAGTGTATTTCATCTTTTGGATGTCTTTCCAGTTCAGTAGTTCCTCTTTGTCCTTGGATTGGGAAATTTCCCTTTGCTCTGAATAAATTATAAAATGAAAATAATTGAAAAAAAATGCAAATAGCTACACCAAGTAACAATTTAATATGTGTTATCTTATCACAATAAAACTAAAATTGAAGGAGTGGAAAAAGGAAATTGGAAATGAGGCATAAAAGAGCTCGAAAGTACATAAACTGATGTTGGGTTTATATGGCCTTTAAAGGCCTTACGAGCGTGTAATAAAAAATATTTACTATAGTGGAACATAAACTCAGTGGGAGTATGGTCCCTCGAAAACCATACTAAGTAAATGATATTTGCGGATAACAAACTGTGTTTGACGATCTAGGCCAGTTGGTTGGAAAACCCAAGGTATCTGAGCATAAAAATAAACCGAGAAGGGTTTTTGGGTTAGACCTTGATGTGGTCGGAGCTTATGCCTAGATGAGTGAGCCGAGGGACTGTGTGACCCTTGTGTGTGATGGTAGGCCTATAGAGACGGGGGCGAAAACCTCATCCATGTTCCATCACACGGCATGTATATAGATAGATCGTTTGGAAAAGCTTGATATCCACCTTTGGGTGAAGTATATGCATGTGCGAAAGATACCCCTATGCGTCATAGAACTATGGTTGCATCAAGTCGTGGTGACCTTGACTTGTCTCTCGGGGAGGACCTGTAATCCACATACTGAGACTGCGACTCATTGGCTAATCGACCAGACTTTGGTGACCCGCTAATGAGCCCCTGCTTGGACTGTGGGTCATGAAAAATACTAGATCGGTTCGATAAAGCAAGTGTAGTCTGTAGTCCACAATTGAATATAGAGTACCCCGTGATCGTTGATTGAATTCCTGAACCTTATGGATCAACTTCCCATCATATTAATTTAATTGTATTGATTTTATTATTAACTTATTTTAGATTTATTATTTGAATTTTTGTAAGTCTTTTGATTTTTTATTTTTTATTTTTTGACTTATAAAAATGAAGTTATTAATTTACAAAGTTATAATGTTTTAAAATTCATTTTTTAAAAAATATTTATTAAAAATACATAAGGGCCTATAGTACGCCCACCATGTGGGTATTAGGTGAGGCCCCACATACCATACATGGGTGGCACGCCCCACCCTTGGATGCCTTATCTTGTTTTGTCTTCAAGTTTGTTAAAAATGGTAACTACATCATGTAGCATGTGGTCAAATAATGATTAGGAAATATTGAGCATATCTTATCTTGATTATTGAAGGAATATCTTGACTTGATATTATTGAAATATTCTTATAGAAAATATGAGATGGAATATGCAATTTATGGTATGCACTATATCTTTAATGGATTTAATTTATTTAAATATATTGATGGGAAAATAGTTTAAAGAAAGAAGGATAATGACCCATCTATAGAATGGATAGCTCAGATCTCTCACCCTACAAGTTACTTTGATCAACGGTCCATATTCAATCTCAAAAAAGATGCAACTATAGGAAAAAATTAGGGTTCTCCCCATCTCAACACATCTCTCTCCCATAAACTCTGTCTCTCTCTTCCCAAGGGGCCATGCCCCTCTCTCTCTTCCTTACGGGCCACACCCCTCTCTTCCTTACGGGCCACACCCCTCTCTCTTCCTTACGGGCTCTTACTCTCTCTCTCCCTCTCATGATCTAATTTAAGGGTTGGAAAAATTAGGGTTCTCCCCCATCTCAACACATATCTCTCTTCCATAAACTCTGTCTCTCTCTTTCCTAGGGGCCACGCCCCTCTCTCTCTTCCTTAGGGGCCACGCCCCTCTCTCCCTGCTCTCTTACTCTCTCTCTCTCATTCTCATGATCTAATTTAAGAGTTGATCTAATTTAAGGGTTGAAAAAATTAGGTTTAAGCCTACTTTTTTTGGAGTTAGGGTTTTGTAGAGATTTAAGGGTGGTTATCTAGTTTGGCCGAAATTAGTTTTCCCGGTTTGAGATTGAAGCTAGACCGCTGATCTTGCGCCATTGAATGTGGTGACTCGGTGTGTGGTGTAAAAAGCCCGGTTGAGGTAATCTCCGGCATCTTTTCTTTTAATTGTTTATTCCTTTATTTTATATTTTCAAGCACAGTATTAGGTTGTATAAATGGCATCAGTAGTTGAGATTTATTTTATTGATGTGTTATTTAATTTTTGGAATTTCTATTGTTTGTAAAAAGACCATGTGTGAGTGATTTTGTTGCCAAAATTATAAGGGGTGATTATTATTTTAAAAAAAAAAAATTGTAATTTTCCGGCAAAAGATTACATATGCAGCTGAACCGGCAGTCAATACCCGACAAACACGGCTGTATTTACCGGTTATTGTTGCCAATGAATTTTTCAGCGGCTGCAGAAACCGATTTTTGTTTCAAAACAAAACACAAAGAAGGCAACTATTTCTTGGTTTCCCAACATTGCACCCCCTAGGTTACAGACATATTCACAGGGAGGGAGACAGAGAGAGTACCCGTGAGGATCTCATTGTAGAAGTAAGGCTTCTCGGCCAAATGCTTCAACACGATCAACAATGTCGAACTGCTCGTATCATGGCCAGCGAAGAGCAAGAGCAATATATTGTCCACTACCTCTGCATCGCTCATATAACCGCCCTGGTCATCAGCAGTGGTGAGTAAATACGACAATAGGTCTTGCTTCGGGCTCGCCCTTCCCTCCCTCAAAGCCTCCTTTCTCACCTCCATCTCCTTCCTCAGCTCTCTTTTTAATGCTTGCGTCGCTGTTTTAGCCTTATAATACCTTGTTCCAGGAATTTTCAGGTCCAACCTCATTAGCCCCTTGACCAAAACAGTGAAGAGAACAGAGAGCTCAGCACTATGATCCTCTCTCTCAATACTAGCAAACAGGCTACAGGCCAGCGCGAATGTATAAGCCTTGATCATATCATATGCCTTCACCTCTGGTTTTCCATTCCAGCGTGTTTTTAGGTGCTCTCGAGCTACGGAATCCATTCGACTAACAAACTTATGGAGAGCCTCTGGACTCAGAAAAGCCATTAGGAGTTTACGCACCCGTTTGGCTTCGTCTCCTGTCGTGGTGATCAATGAATTGCCAAATATCCTCCCGACAGAGGCTGGCCACGCATTTACGAGCACCCTGTTCTCATTCGAAAACAGGAATTTGTTGCCTGTTGCTCCACAAAATACTGCGACTGGGCTGCCGAGGAGATGGGTCTTGAAGACATGAATTCCACATTTCTGAATCTTCTCTTTGATGAAACTTTCAGGGCCTTCAGAGCCGCCAATAAATTGCAGGGTCTCTCCTATGATGGGCCATCCCATGGTTCCTGGGGCGAGCTTGGGGCCCTTTTGGTGGTGCTGGCTGCACCACCACGAGCGCACCACCACCAAAGTGGCCAAGCGAATAGCAAGAACCCAAAGAAACATCATCTCTCCACACTCCATTCCTCGCTCAAACCTTAAACATTGTTTATGTATGTCTACAAACTGCCCCCACTCAATTAAGGGTGTGGTTTCTATACAGCCGAGGCTCTAAACAATCAAATTAGAGTGCACCTTCAAACAGTGTTGAGAAATGTGGTTTCAATGCTGGAAATCTTTGTGATAGACATAAAATATATTTTTATCTTTAATTATAAATTTTAAATATTTAAAAATAATGTAAATCCAGCGTATCTATGAAAACTTGAAAATCCTAAAAATTGACGGTCTTACAAGATGCACTATTTCCAAAACTTGAAATCCTTTTTTTTTTCTCATGTCCATGTATCTTGATGTGGAGATGATCAATTTGAGGATATTTGGGCATCAAAACAACCTATTTTAGTAAAATGTTTTAGGTGCACTCTAATTTGATTGTTTAGAGCCTCAGCTATAAATAAACTTTTTCCCTGACCTAAAATATGTAATGGGCACATATACTATGCTCCTGTGGAAGCACATTGTATACATAAAATATGACATGGCAAGATTTTTTATCGGAAATTTTATGAATAACCTAAAAATTACTGGATGGTTATATTCAAAAGCAAAAGTTTGTGGTTTGAGTTTTCTAACACTTAGATCTCACTCATAAAAAATTGGATGGTTTCTATTCAATCTTGAGAGATTTATTTTTTATATCCCATAAAGAATACAATTTAAAAAATTTATTTATTGAATATAGCATATGGGTTGAAGAGGTTACAATCCCAAAATTGTGGATCCTAAAAATACTCCTCGATTGTGTTTTGCCCAAGGGAGTAAATGGATAGAATGCTCCTTCAAGAGCATGAAATACTTAGGGATATCTAATGATAGGAGTCGCGGGTTCAGGTTTGGGTTCATATTTTGGACTGGGGGGTTTAAACCCAGGTCCAAATGACTTGGAACCGACTTGGGTCATGTATGACATCGAAGATGGGGTGGGCATCGGGTCGGCAGGGTCAAGCTCTATATAAAATATTGTTTTTATTTTATTACTTTATTGATCCAAGTCCTGGGCGGGTCTAGGTCCATGTGGAACCTAGTCAGGTCAGTTCGGGTCAAGTCAGGTCGACCCGGCCCCTTGCCACCCCTATCCAATGATGGCCAAACACACAAAAATCTTTGGAAAGAGATGTTGTTCGGGTTATGTTTTGGGTTTGCATCGATTTGGCAGCATGGCGGAGTCCATGATCACATTGAATATGTGGTCACCTTTCAAAATCCAGACTGATTTTAAATCGTGTCAAACATATTACACGACTTGTTAAAGGTATGGGTCACAACACTTGAATTTAATGTGTTTGGAAAAGATAAGGGATGTGGTCACCTCTGTATGCTATCTTTTGGGGAATATCGACTTGGCATCTCTGTGGACTTGTGTCAACACTTACCAACTAAGATTAGTAAAAGAAAAAGATTTCGTGAGTCCATGTTCATATTGAAGATGTGGTCACCTTTCAAGATCCATCCATGAGATTAATTTTTGGAACAAATAAATTTTAAGTTGATAATCTTGATCATCAATCTAAAAAAAGAAGAAGCAATTTAAATTTTATTTAAATAGGAAAAGGTTTCTATACTTCCTCGGTAGCATAGAAGATATATATTCCCCTTTTCAACCTTCCAATTTAGATCAAGTGAGCTACTTAACATTTGATCTAGATCCGACACCTCTGACTATTTAATGTTTAGTTTTTCTTCTACAAATTTTATGAATATGAACTTTGGTACGTATCATCTTCTCAATGGGGCACACCTAAAAAAAATATTAAAAATAATTTTTTGATAAAATATAATCACTAAAATACCCCTTGAATCTTTCAAGGGTACTTTAATTATTTTATTTTGTTGAGAATATTTGTTTTATATTTTTTATAAGTGTGAGTTTAATAGAGGAGTGGACCCTAAAATTTGGTATCCAAATATTTTGTTGAAAAAACTTAAAAATAAATTAATGTAGAGATGTGACATTGTGATTGGGGCCATCTCAGCTGTCCATTTAGAATGGACAGTTGGATAGGGGGAAGTATATAAGTTTTATGCAGTAGGGAAAACATAGAAAGCTTGCCCTTATAAATATATTATTTAGGGAAATGATATCTTGTCACAATGCTATTATATTATAATGAAACCACACTTCAAGAAAACTATGTTTGTAGTATCTGCATGACCAAAAATTTTGCACACACGCTCTCTTATCTCAATAATCAATATAAAAAAAAAGAAAATTAATTTGCACCCTATATATGGTCAAAATGAGTCATCTCTAACAATGAATCTAGACCATCCATTTGATAAATTTTAATATCTAGGCCATTATGAATTCAAAATCAATTTTTTCTTTTTTTAACATTGTTAATTAAATGATAATAAAGTTATCTAAAAATTTTGAAAATAAAAAAGATCCTATTTAAGACCTAGATCTAAACGTCCCACCAAAATGGATTGCATATGTTAATTGGGCTAAAAAAAACACTTTCTAGGTTGTGGTTTCAAATTTTTCTTTTTTGTGACTGTTTATTTTCAAATTTCCCTTTTTTTGTGATTGCTCATTCAAATGAAAAGAGTGTATATTTAAAATTTTAGTTCCAACAAATGACCCTAACATAGTGAGTGAGGGAACGCATGTGGTCCCCTTAGCATCCAAGATGGACGTTGACAAAATGGCATGCGAAACAGACGGTGCAAAAATATCTGAAAAGAATACTTCTAAAATTTAAATTTCTTTTCTTTTTGGGAAAAGTTTATATAGAGTCGAAGATCTAAAAAATCAAATTTGAACCTACCTCAAAAATTTCACTAGAAGAAGTTGTTTTGATGCCTAAATATCTTTAAATTAATCATCTCGACATCAAGATACATAGACATGAGAAAAAAATGGATTTCAAGTTTTGGAAATAGCGTATTTTGTAACGCATTTTTGAACCGTCAATTTTCAAGATTTTCAAGTTTATATAGCTTTGTCGATCTACACTATTTTTTAAGCTTTAAACTTCATAAATAAAGATGAAAATATATTTTAAGGCTATCACAAACATTTTCAATAATGAAACCACATTTCTCACACCATTTGAAGGTAGGCTCTAATTTGATTGCTTATTAGCGTAGGCTCTATACAAACCTCACCCTTTTTTTTTTTCCATAATCAAGATGGCCATGACTAGATCATGAATCTTTTGAACATTTAAATTCAAAATCCATCTCTAAGATGGACACTAATGGGGGGACGCACTGGGAACAGTTGAAGAATAATATGAAAAACAAAAGAAAAATCCTATTTTTGAATTTTGAAATTTATTATATTTTTGAAAAACCTTTCAAAATACATGTGAGCAAATTTTTACAATATTTTGCTCATGGCTCATTATCTTCAAAATTCTATCTGAGACAATCATATAAGGGCAAGTTTTCTATGCTTCCCCTACAGCATAGAAGTTCCATTCTCCTCCTTATCCAACCGTCCATTCTGAATGGAGGGCTAAGATTGCCCCAATCATAATGTCACGTCTCTACACTGTTTTATTTTTAATTTTTTTTATAAACTATTTTGACACCAAATTTTGGACATCCATTTCTCTATTAAACTTGCACTAGCAAATATATATATATATATATATATATATATATATATA